TGTAACTTACTCAAAATCTTTAGTACATCTCTCAAAAGTAAGTATTTATGTCAATGAACATATCAGTGGCATCGGAATGAAAAGTTATTGTGTCATTGTTCACAAACAAGATAATCAAAATTATTAGTCATTTTGTCAATATAACAGTGCCCTCTGTAAGTATTACCTGATGTAAACTATGGCAACAGTTTTGGATGGCACTTCTTATGTATGCCATATATCCATTTTAAAAGTACAAATTGACATATTACTGTATGTGGGATTTTGATTGAATCTTGCAGTCCTTTGGGGGAAAAAATGCATAAATGCAAAACATGATTTTTCACATAAAATAACATTTAAAAAAATGTGCACACATATTTAAAAAAAAAAATACAGGTGTGTTTGTGTTACAGTTTGTATCTGTATAAAGTATATATGTTGTATGCTGCAAAATACAGTTGGACACTGTATTATGAATCATTACTGCAAGTACAGTATAACAGTACATTGCACATTGGTTGACATACCTGTGCTCTCTACAAAATGTTTGAATTATTGAGGATACGGTCAATCTACCAATATTTGGGTGCACCCTTCAACTCGCCTCAGCCATTGTAAGGTCATGATTGACAACATGGTCCACTAATAGTGGCCCTTATTTCATCTGATATGCGCCTATGTCATTGGCGACTTCTACCTCTTCCTCTGTTTTGCCTCTTTACCCTTCCACCACGTATCCTTACTCCTCGTCGTCCTCTCGGCTGTTGACCCTGATTGTTTCCTGGATGTTCATCCATTGTCAGAATTTGTAACTCTTGTGTTGTCCTCGGTCTATATGCTTTCCAATTGAAGGTTCATGAGATGCACCTTTGAGCTATTTCAGAGATTTACATTCTCTTCATTAGTGAAAGTCAAGATTCACCTGCACAATACATGGCAAATTTATAAAAAGTCTAATAGAAATGTGTAGAAAATATGCTTGACAGTTTATGACAACTAGATCAACCATTTTGCATTTAATGACTTATACGATGAACTAATGACTAGATGTTTTGAGGGGTAAGACTATTGCACAGTGAACTATTTAATACATTTTGAGCAACATGACATTAGAAACTGATAATGTAGGAAACCGTATACAAATATACATAATCAATTGCATGCATGTACCAAAGCAATCACAACTTGTTCAAAAGAATGAGAAACTGTTTTTATGATGTGCACTAGATGTGACTAGATGATGTGGAGGTTGAACAAGTAGTTTTGAGAACTTAGTTTCTGATCTTAGAAATGCGTCAAAGCGACTAAGAAAAACTGTAATAAAGTCTTGTAAACACAGTTTACTTGCATTGTCAGGTTCTTGATTTGCATGTAAACCTGGACAACAGGTTATTTCAATTGTTTAATCAGCGTACAGTTGTGCCTGTAAACATGCTAAGTGATGGAATGAGTAAGGACTGAGAGAAGGAGGAGCATGACTGAGCCGTAGGGGAGAAGGAATGAAACACAGCAGACAGCCTAGAAGTCCTTGGTCATGGTGGACCCATGATTAGCCAGGGCAGAGCCAGTGGGATAAGGTAGCCTGGAGGAGCCAGAATGACAATGGTCCCAGATTGAGCTGAGGGGGTGAGGAGCCAGGGTGAAGCTGGAGACAAAGTGGAACTGGGGGCTCAGAGGGATGAGATGGAGCATGGAACTCAGGGCTGCATGGCAGGGCTGATGGTGGGTCTGAGGGGCTGAAGGGAGCTAGCGGAGGCAGAGACGAGGGAATGACTGGCTTTGGCTGAGTGTTCAAGAGAAGAACACTAGGTGTGGAAGCAGGCTCCATGACAAGGATGGCGGTGACGATGACAACTCATAGATGAACATGGATGGTGGCAACAAAGCACATTCTGTGATGGACAGGACTAGTGGCAAAAAGAACATTCTCTGACAGACAGGACTTGAGGTCGATGATGAAGGTACTTCTTTTTCCCAGTCTACTAGCCATTCCTCTGCATCCAGCTCTGCTAAAATCCACACTGGCATAGATGTTATGGCTGGCTCACAAACCTTGTCAGCCAGGACTTCAGGCTTCTCCTCCAGGAAGGATATGGTTGCTGGCTCTGATTCAATAACAGACATTGGCTCAGGCTCGATTTTTATGGTGGAAAGAAGTTGGGTCTCTTGGTCTGCGGTGGGCTCTGGATCTATAACCACAGTAGGTGCTGGGTCTGGCTCTGGGATGGTGATTGATGTTGAGTGGAGCTGGATGCTGGCTGTGGAATCCTCTTCCACATCACCCATGGTAAAAGAGAATCCATTTATCCAAAGGGCGAAATTCTAGTCATCGATCACCGTCCAGCAGGAATTTCCCCAGGGAATTATCGGTCAAATCTCATCTTCCAATGCGATCCAGAACCCCTCCATTAGTGAGATGACATCGTAGGTGGTGAGGTAGGTGATTCTCATTAACTCCATGTACTCTTCTAGCTCTCTTTCTTTTGGAAAAGTAAAAATCACTGCCCCTTAGGGGCTGTACAATCACAATTGTATTTCAAATATTAGCAGAATGCACATGACCTGATCAGTGACATTATCAATTTGCAATACAGTATCTATCAGTAAGATTGATACCATGCAATGTAATTAATTCTAGTGTAAGGCTAAAATGATGAGTGGGTCTGGTGACTTTGCTTGACCCCAGAGAAGTTGCATCATTTGTATTATATGTGTGAATATTACAATCTCTGAGAATCAATACTGTATTGATGTTGACCGATAGGTCTGACAGAAAATGTGTGAATTTGTAGAAACGGGGCGATGGAGCAATGGAGGGCCTGGGCCTTGGAGCAGAGGGTTGTGGTGCAGTTGCGGATTTGGGAGGTGGAGCACTGGTGGGCCTAGTGTGTTGAGCACTGAACAAGGCCATGGTGGAGCAAGAAAAGGAACATGAAGTGTGTGCAGCCCAAACACACAAGATGGCAACCCCCATCACCGAGAGTGCAGAAGAAGGTGGTAGGACATCTGGGACTCCCAAGACAAGAAGTGCTGAGACCACTAGACTTGCCATTGCTGGCACGTGGGCCACGGTCGGCTTGGGACTGGCCTCCGTGGCAGTCTCTGGTGTGGCAGCCATGACAATTGGAGACTCTGACAAGCCGGACATAATGCGAAGAGGCTCTGGCGTAGCGGCCATATTGGCTGAAGTTTCTGGTTTGGCGGGCATGACGTGTACAGGCTCTTGCTTGGCAGACATGACGTTAATAGGCTCTGGCATGGTGGGTACTGCAGGATTGCGGTACTTCATCTGCATTTCCCACAGTAAATGAGGAACTGCTTAGTAAGTCTTTGGGCCAGAGTCCATGGAACAGTGGTCTCAGGCATTAAATAGTTCCAGTGGTCAGTAAGTCCATTGCAAAAAAGTGGACCTTGAGGGTCCAGCTGACAGCAAATTCTGCAAAGCTCCTCCACATAACTCTCCAGGGATCGATCTCTCTGAGAGGGCTGCAAGAGCTGCACTGCTGGGTTCATTTTAACGGTCTAGCTTTCTGTAACAAACGTCAACTGGAGACATGAACTTGTGTAGTATTATTTGCAGTAACGTGAATTAAACACAAACTAAACAAAGACTTGGCTTGGTAAACATGAACTAAACATGGACATAAACACAGAACTCACCAACAGTGTTACAGGCAACGAAGCTAGACAAGAGACAATGGGAACATGAAGGCTATTTATACTAACAGACTAATGACAAACAAGGAACTCCTGTGAACAATCAGTCAAAGAACCAATTAGAACATAAAACAAATGACTAGAACAACCAATCAGGATATGACCCAATCACAAGGGGTGCATATGGCAGGATAACACGAGAAGTAAGGGAAGCACATGACAAATAGGAAGCATGACAGCGAGAAATACAAAATAAAAGATATGAAAATATACAGTGGGTACGTTAAGTATTCAGACCCCCTTCAATTTTTCACTCTTTGTTATATTGCAGCCATTTGCTAAAATCATTTAAGTTAATTTTTTTTCCTCATTAATGTACACACAGCACCCCATATTGACAGAAAAACACAGAATTGTTGACATTTTTGCAGATTTATTAAAAAAGAAAAACTGAAATATCACATGGTCCTAAGTATTCAGACCCTTTGCTGTGACACTCATATATTTAACTCAGGTGCTGTCCATTTCTTCTGATCATCCTTGAGATGGTTCTACACCTTCATTTGAGTCCAGCTGTGTTTGATTATACTGATTGGACTTGATTAGGAAAGCCACACACCTGTCTATATAAGACCTTACAGCTCACAGTGCATGTCAGAGCAAATGAGAATCATGAGGTCAAAGGAACTGCCTGAAGAGCTCAGAGACAAAATTGTGGCAAGGCACAGATCTGGCCAAGGTTACAAAAAAATTTCTGCTGCACTTAAGGTTCCTAAGAGCACAGTGGCCTCCATAATCCCTTAAATGGAAGACATTTGGGACGACCAGAACCCTTCCAATCGAGGGAAAGATGAATGCTTTAGCAAATGGCTGCAATATAACAGAGTGAAAAATTGAAGGGGGTCTGAATACTTTCCGTACCCACTGTAAACAATGAAACATAACCCAAAACCATGTAACAGAATTAAACAAGAAATGATGTAACATTTCCGCAATATTTACAGCTGGTCTATTAGCACGGGAATAGCATTACCTGAGGTAATTTTCCTTTTTACTGAAGGTAAAAGTCACATTAATATTTACTGATATTATCCATAATGATTACTGAGATGGCACATTCAGATGGGACTAAAATCACTGAGAAGCTCTGGTTATATTTACTCTATCCCACCACTCCATGTAAAACTAATCCTGTCCAAATAGGTTTTAACAAAGAACACAATCAGGGTCTCACATTTACACAACTTTTACATTTTTATCTGTAAGTGTGATGTTTTAATTAGACTGATCACAATTTAATTGTCTTTCTTCAGAGTGAATGCGCAGATGATTGTTGAAATTGCAATTTTCCTCAGTGTGACAAGGTTTGGATTTTCTTTCCAGAGTGAGTTTGCAAATGCCGTTTTAGGTCTGTGTGATATGGGAAACTCTTTTCACACTGAACACACTTGTAAGGTTTCTCTCCAGTGTGAACTCTCATGTGAATCTTAAGGTTTCCTTTAACCGTGAAGCTCTTTCCACACTCTTGGCAGGTGAAAGGCTTCTCTCCTGTGTGAACTCTCATGTGATTCTCAAAGTTTCCTTTGTGTGAGAAACTCTTTCCACACTGCTGACATATAAAACAGTTCTCCCCGGAGTGACTCCTCATGTGAAGATCAAGGTGCGCTTTACACCTGAAACTCTTTTCACACTGATCACAAACAAACGGCTTCTCTCCAGTGTGAACT